TAATTCATAGGCAATTCTTGAAATATGTTTCACTGCCGTTTGTAGCTTCAAGTTTTTTGCTGAGTCGTTGATAGAGCATTATATCTCCAGCGACACCAGTGCCTAACCTATCATTCAGTAGATTTATTACGTTGTTAGTCAATTAATAACTCATTTATATATTTTTGATTCTTTTTTCCTCTTGGCTCAGATGATAGCAGCTTCAGAAACTTTTTCCACTGGCCGCAGTTTTTCGCCGGTTGATGTACTTCATCACTTGAATGAGAAAGGAAACAATATTAATTCTTCCATATACTCGAGCCGTCTGCCATGTGGCTTTGACAGGAGGGTCAGTCTTGTTATTCATTCTTATAGCAACGTCACTTCCATCATTCATGTTCATCTTCACCTCCAAGACAACGCAAAAATTCTTCAAGCAAAATCAAGCGTTTGCTATAGCTTCATACACCCACACACCGCGGAGCGCCTTGCAGCTTAGTCTGGAGTAGTCTTTAGTAGTATAGTACCTCAGAATGTCAGTTGTGCACGAGCGCATTAAATCACGTATGAATAACATCGCCATTAGTTAATGTGTTGAAGAACGATAGTCATCACATGAATTTAGACACTGTGTTTGGTACATATGTCTTCACCGTAGAGGCTTGTTTTAACCACAGCTGTTTATAACTATGAGGTGATACAGCGTCTAATGACAAACATGTTGTAGCCACGATTAATTACTGAAATTACGCGATAATTTTAGACATGAAAGTTATCGATTCTGTGAATCGCTTGTGTTTCCTTATTTTATGAAGCATTTATCTGCTGTTGAATAATCACAATATAATTTTATCAAATACAATTTGAACAAAGCAATGGAACACCATAAAAAGAGGACCGTTAATGGTGGGCAATAACAATTATCGACTTTATATCCTCCGTTTAGAACCATCACATAAATCTCGACCTAGCCTGCTCAGATCTAACTAATCATATTGATTTTCGTTTTTGCACAGACTATAGTAGACTCGCTTTTGCCCAGTCGTACTCTACGTAACAATACATTCGAAAGGAAATTCCCGAATGCCGTGAGCATTACACTTACTATTTTTACAACTCTCTCCAGAGCCAGTAGCACCATATGAGCCATTGCTAATGTTGTAGCAGACTAAGTCGGGACTGCAACCATTAGCACGGGGCTAATTTGCAGGATGCATGTTCAGGCAGTCAGTTTCAATGATAGCTTCTGGCACCCAGCCAGTTTTCGAGCTGCGATAAATGATAACCCAAATTTCGAAAAAAATCCTTAGATGAACTTGCCCATTAATGACTGTTCCCGAGTCTTCGGCAGGTCTTTTAGGCAAACAAAAGATTTGTCTTCCTTTTCGAAAGAGTTCGCAAGACGTACCACGGCAGATATGATTTCTTTTTCTTGAGAAACAGCCGCTTTGCAAAATAACTCTCAGATGTCTGAACTACGAACTGGGATTGTCCATTCGAGACATGTTAGCCAAGTGATTCGTTTCAGAAAACTTTTTTCGGTCTTTAGTATTTAGGATTAAAGGGAATCAATCATCTAATCATAAAGGCAGGTAAGTATGGGGATAAAGATCGACTTGAATATTGAGAGCTTAGTTTTCAGACCGAGCTCTGCTTTC